TTCTTTCCATGACCTGGGGCTGTAGCTCTCTGGATACCATCTGGGCAAAGAAGGAAAAGCCAGGTTTTTCATACTGTCACTGCATGGGCTGCTGGGCTGGTACCTCCCTTCTTTTTCAGGCTGGTTACTAAACCAGATGTTTACTACTTTCTGCTCCTAGTTACCCATATAGTTGAGCATGTTCTGGAAATTATGGGATTTTGGAGATCAATTGGAGGCTGCTAATCAATAGAGCATTGAAAGAATTCTTTCTCAGACATTTGCTAGCCTTGTGACCCTGAGTAAGTCCCTTAACCTTCCCCAGCCTCAGTTTCCTCATCTGTAAAATGAGGGACTTAGGTGGTAGAGTAGATTGATCACTACACCTGGAAACAAGAAGATCGGTGCACAAATCCAGCCTTAAATACTTACTAGCTCTATGACCTTGGATAAATCACATAACCTCTCATAACTGGGAGGGGAACTCAGAACATGCATAGGTCATAGAACGTCAGAGACAGTACAAGAGAAGGCCAGCTAGGGATGGGGCCCTGCAGAGCCCCCACCCCAATCCTTCCATTATCTCTGATGGCACTTTGCTTCCCTCTGTCTCAGAGACAGTCTCTGCCTGAGCAGGCAGGTACCAAGAGTGTCACCAACTTAGGGCAGTCAAGACACTTCAAAATGAGCCGAGGTAAGAACATAACCACGCCAGCCTGAGCCTCTTCAGAGCTCTGAGGAGGGGGAGGAGGAAGGAAAAGGTCTGAGGTGGGATCTGCTGAGGTCACCATTTTATCACGGAGCTCTGGTAGGATTTACTTTCTATCTTACCTTTCATTTAGCATCATAAACATGCGGAGATATGAGGCCAGAGGAAGAACAGGCTGCCCATTCTGTGTCCAGGGGACAGGAGGAGGGGCTAGGATACACTGTACTAGGTGGCCCTGTTGTAAATGTTTGGACTGCAAGATTGGATCTGGGAGGGGGCCCGGAGAGTGGGGGATGGGAAGTGAAGTGAAAGTGGTTCAGTCCAGAGCCTGGAGCTACTAGGAAAACCATCTGAACATCATTAGAGCTGGATATGACATTAGGCTCCTCTAATGCATTGTTTTGGTTTGGTTTTTTTGGCTAGGCAATGGGGTTAAGTGATCTACCCAGAGTCATGCAGCTAGTAAGTGTTACGTGTCTGAGGCTGGATTTGAACTCAGGTCCTCCTGAATCTGGGCCGTGCTCTATCCATGGTGCCACTGCCCCAGGCGCCCTCTAATGTAACGAAGAAGGAAACTGAGGTCCCAATGTCACACAGATAGTTGAGGCAGAGCTAGGAAAAGTGTTGCACATGAAGTCAGGAAGACCAGAGTTGAAATCCTGTCTTAGATACTTACTGAGCCTCAGTTTCACCATCTGCAAAAGAGGTTTGATGACCTCTTCAGTCCCTTCGATCTTGGTCTGGGACTCTGTGGCTTGAATGAGGTGTCTCTCTTCTCTCAGGCCCACCCCATGCCCCTCTAAAGCCAACCCTGTAACTAGGCCACTCGCCTACTCCTGGGTCCCTCAAGGCAAATGCTTGACCCAATTCCCTGCAGACCCTGCTCGTTCCAGATTGAACGTGGCAAGCTCCTGCATGACCTTGTGGGATTCAATTCAATTGTGACCAGCCTTTATTAAAGCTCTTCTGGAAAGAAGCAGGCTGTGCTCACACAGGTAGTGACCAGCTAAGTCATGGCCTCTGCCTGCCCTCCACAGTCCCTGTCCAGCACAGCTTTGAGGGAGGAGGGGATCAGCCAGCATCCAGGAGAAATCAAGTTGCCCCAAAGTCCTATGTTTATGAAATTGGTGGAAACTGGAGTTTGCAAATACATTCAGGAGTTGTTTCGTAATTAAAGAAGCTTCTTAAACATTGACTCCCTTCCCCCTCTCCCCCATGCAAACACCAACACTTCTGGTCTGTTTACATAAATAAATCTGGATATCCATATGCTTTAGGTAGGTGCTTTATCTAGCTCTCCAGGCTTACATCTTCTGAAGGGTTCACCTTTTTTCCCCTTCCTCTTCCATCCAGAAGCACAAATACCAGTTTATTACAATTTTAATTTAACTACTACCAGGCCCTGGCTCTTATCACTGGTAACCCTCAATGGCACCTCTGTGTTACTAGGAAGAGCAGGACCTAAGCCACTAGGTCTGGATTCAAGTTCTGACCTCCCCTACCCCAGCTCACCTCACTAGCTCAGTAATTTGGGGGAAGACACTAGACTGAGCCTGTTTCTCATATGCAGAGTGGGGAGAAGGTCACATGTCCCTGACTTGGGAAAGTGTTTTCAGCAATAGAAGTATTTCTTTCTCTCATTTTACAGTACAACATGGGGGACAATGCTAAGCCAAGAGGCAGGTACTATGGCCCTGCCTCTGGCACCAGATGTGTTACTCTGAGCAAGTCACCTAATCTCTAGTACCTTGTGTATTTCCCAATAACTGAGCGGTATATTCATAGAGGTGCTATGATCAACATTAGGGGAGGGCATTTCCCCAAACTCTAGCTCTAGACAACTTGGAAGGGACCTTAGAAGTCATCTGGTCAGGCCTCTCCTTTCACACATAAACTGAGGAAAAAAGAGATTGTGCCAGGCAAGAAGTCAACAAGCCAGTAGCATGGCTGGCACTGGAACTCATGAATTGTGATTGACTCTAAAGTTCCACCTTCGTCCCCATTCGACGACCTACCCACTTTGGCAGCTCTTTCCTTTCCACACCTGAGACACCCACAGAGCTTGGCAGAGGGCCTGAGCCCCAAGACCAGGACTCTTTCTAGCTATCATACCTTGTTCAACAGGCTCTGTGGAACTGGCAGGGCTGTTGTGGAGAATCAGTGAGGTCATGGCTATAAAAACTCTGGAACGGTAAGAAAACTCTGGGACTTAAGCTAGAAGTCTGTGAGCTCCCTGCAGGTAGAGATTGGTTTTGTCTTTCTTAATAAACTGCTTAGCACAGTACCTGGCTTCTAACTGGAGCTTAACAAAATGCTTGTTATCCACAGTGGGGTGGGGCTGGCTAGAAGCTGAGTTCAAGCTCTACTTTTGAGGATTACTAAGTGTGTGACCATAAACAGACCTCTACATCTCTGGGGACTCAGTTTCCTCATCTGTCAAATGTCAAAATTATACTGTAATAGCTAGCTCAGAGGGTTGTGAGGGTCAGAGGAGATAATGTCTGTAAGGAGCTTTGGAAAGTTTAAAATATTCTAGTGTCAGGTATTATCAGTCCTTGTAAAATGTGACATGAAGACACGTTGTAATTATTAAGACATCCTTCATTTAGTTTCCCATGATGGAGAAGAAAAGGCCTTGCATTTGGAATCTGAGGATAGATCTCAGCTCTGTCCATATTACCTAGACAAGACACTTCGCCTCTCCTGGCGTTAGTTTCCCTTTCAGTAGAGGTATGAACTACACTCAACAGTGTCTGAGCCCAGGGCTTACTCCCAGTCCTGAGACCCAACCTATTTCCCAGTTTGGCCACAAGGTCTCAGGCCCAGGGGGGCAGGCAGAGAGGCGAAACCCAGACTCTGAATCTAGGGCTCCCTGCTCTATAAATTGGCATGAAGAGGTGGGGGGGAGCGGAATCTGCACCCTCAGGGGGGTTGTTTGGGTAAGTTCGAGTGTATATCCGCGCGCACTCATGGTGGGGGGACGGGGGCACTGCTAAGCATCTTGGTGGAGTCTATAGAGAAGGGCTTAGCTGTGGAGCTCTGGCGGGGGCAAGAGGGCCCTGAAGGAAGGCTGCCCGCCTAGGGGGAGAAGGGGAGGCGGCCGCAGAGGCAGAGGCTGCCGCAGCCGGCAGTCCGTCAGCCCGCTAGTTGAATGAGCCCCAGGCTAGGGCGAGACTTAACGGGGTGGGGCTGGCTTGGAGCGCTCTTATTCCCGCGGGTCGCCAGTGGCACAGTGCAGCGAAATGGGGTCTTTCGGAAGCTAGGTAGCCAGAAAAACGGTGGACTGAAAGGGAGGGAGTAATTGTGAGGGGTCCTCAAGCAACAGAGAGCTCCTGCGCCCAGTGTGCGCCCGGACCCTGGCCCAGCCTTACCCCCTCCTCCCCAGCCCCCTCAGGCTGGGCCTCTGTCAGGGAAGGAGGAGGAGACGGCGGCATATGGCCGTGTGTGCGTGCAGGCGTGTCAGTGTGTGTGCATGGGAGAGTATGCGTGTGTGGCAGCTTCTATGCATGGAAGAGTGTGCGAGTGGAGGCATGTCGGTGCGTGTGCATGGGTGAGTGTACGTGTGTGTCAGTGGAGGAGTGTGTGCAGGCGTGCTAGGGTGTGTGTACATGGCTGAGTGTGCACGCGCCTGGCCGGGTGGAGGCAAGAAGCCAGCAAGGATCCAGCGAGTCGCTGGCAGCCCTGCCCAGCGCTGCCCGGCCACGATTGACACCCTCCGGGGCCGCCCCCTGCTCAGGGAGGGGGGGAAGGGGAGGGGGGTCGTTGCAGCCAATGAGCGCCGGGTGGGGCGGGGCACCCTCCGCGGAGCGGGGGCCGTGGGTACTTAGGCAGGCGGCCGCTGTCGGGGGGAGCCCAGAGCGGAGCCGAGCAGGCTGGGCTGGGCTGTGCCAAGGGTGGCGAGCGCAGCAGCTCCTCCAGGAGCCAGGGATCCATCAGGGCGCCCGTGCCGAAGCCGGAGCCCGAGGCGGCGGCGGTGGCCGCAGCAATCTGCGCCGGGGACGGCGTAGGGACCGGTTGGGGAGCCGTGGGGCTCCCAGCTCCTCGGAGTCCCGCGACAAGCAGAGACGAGCCGAGCGGAGCCCGTTCTGCGGAGCCAGCGAGGGAGCGCGCGCAGATCACAGTGCGGAGCATCCCCTCGGTGCGCGGCCAGCACCCCCTGGAGCCGCCGGGGACTCTCCCGAAGCCCCCATGGGGCCAAGGAGACTTTGAAGGAGTTTGGGGCTTGCTTCGGGAGCAGGGAAGCCACCGGTACGAGGCCACGCGACGTTCCTTTCCTTCGGGGCTCCCTTCCCCCGCTTGCCTCTCCGGACCGGGTGGCGTATTTCTGCGGGGTGCCTGCTGCGCCGGGGATGGTAGCGCCTCCCGCCCCTGCCTCCTCCCGCCTTTGTGGAGCTGCTCCTCCTCCCCTTTCTCTCCCGCTCCCCGCCAGCTTTCCCCGAGGCTGGAGAGGCGAAAAGGGGACGAGACGGGATCAGCCTCGTCCTTTGGCTGCCGCGGCAGCAACCCAGGGACAGGTGGGGGGGGGCGCAGCTGGCTCGAGTGCATCTGGAGACCGTGGGGCCGGGAGGTTCCAGTCCCGGCCCTGCCACCTACTGGCTGTGTGACCTTGGGTTGGTCATTTACACTTACTGGACCTTGATCCCCCCCTCCTCCAAAATGGGGACGGGATTAGAGGATCTCCAAGATCCCTTGCAGCGCTAAATCATTTGATTTCCACCCCCCCCACACACACACACACATCCCTCCACTGTCCATTGCTAGTTATTAATTGAGAGAAGGGTATGTGTGTATCTGTGTCTGCCTGTGTGGACTCGGGGCTGTTTTCTAGAGCTCACCTGAAACATTACAATTTGCTGTATTGAAGAAATAGGCAAGAGAAGTAGAAGGGAGTGTGTGTGTGTGTGTGTGCGTGTGTGTGTGTGTGTGTGTGTGTGTGTGTGTGTGTGTGTGTGTGTCTGACACAGAGGGACTCGGCAGGACTCCCGAGCAGTGCGCTCTGCGCTGAGCTGCGTTGAGAGGCGCGGGGATCCCCGTCGTCACTGTCTTCTCTCTAGGCCCTGGGGACCCAGAGACTTCTTCCCTGGTTACCCTTGCTCTCTTTGCCCGTCCCTGGACTCCTCCCTCCTAAAGGCCAGCCTCCTCAGAGCCACCGCTAGCTTTCCGCTCCCCCCACCCAACCCCCAGCCCCCTGCAGCCTGGGCAAATTGGAGAGCTGCGCCCAGGAGCCCTCCTCCTGCCTTGGGCGCTGGGCACGTCCTGGGATGGGGGGCGCCGAGGCCAGGCTGAGCAGAATGGGGACCTCGCCTCTGTGTTTTGGCTCCTCCGCTCAGCCTTGATCCATATGGCCATACCCTGACAGGCCTGAGGTGGGAGAAGAAGAAGGCTGGCACCGCGGAGGCTGAGAGGAGGCGGTTCCAGAAAGTGTTAGACTAGGCTGGGTTGGATCGCCGGGGCCGGGGACGGGGCGGGCTGGGGAGCGCGAGGCAGTCGGCAGTCACAGGCCTGACCCCTGGGAGAGTGCTTCTGGCCTGAACGACCTTCCTCCCCCGGGCAGCCCTAGGCAAACTTGTGCTCCCTAAGACCCTCAGAAAGAATTCCCCTTCTCGCAAGCGGAAGGGCGGGCGAGCGGTTCGGATGGGCTCCGGGTGGCCGGCCACCGCCTGTTCTTACGGCTTTTTCTCTTGCTTCCTCCTCGCTGCATTTCTTCCCTGGATCCGGGACTGGCTCCTTCGTGCCCCGCGCCCAGCTCCCCAGCATCGGCCTGTCCTTGATGGGAAACCAACTGGACCGGATCACCCACCTGAGCTACAGCGAACTGCCCACCGGGGACCCATCGGGCATCGAGCAGGACGAGCTGCGGGTCGGGGTCGCCTACTTCTTCTCCGATGAGGAGGAGGACGTGGATGAGCGAGGCCAGCCCGACAAGTACGGCGTAAAGGGGCCCCCAGGCAGTGGTAGTGGCGGCGGCGACGGCGACGGCGACGGCGACGGCGGGGGTAGCCCGGGCCCCGGGACGCCCACCCACCACCCGCACCACCTGGTGCACCAGCTGGTGCTACACGAAGCCCAGTGTTCTGCCTTCCGTGGGCCCGAATGCATCTTCTCCAAGGGAGGCGGGGGCGCCGGGGATCTGGGGGTCTACGCCGTGACTGCCCTGCCCGCCCTCTGCCAGCCCGGCGACCTGGTGGAGCTACTGTGGCTGCGGCCGCCGGCCGCCGCCGCCGCCGGGGAGCCCCCGGGGTCTGCGCCTCCGCCGCCGCCGCCGCCCCCTCACTGGGCAGTCTACGTGGGCAGTGGCCAGGTCATCCACCTGCACCGGGGCGAGATCCGCCAGGACAGCTTGTACGAAGCGGGCGCTGCCAACGTAGGCAGAGTGGTGAGTAACTGGTACCGCTACCGGCCCCTGGTGGCCGAGCTGGTGGTGCAGAACGCCTGCGGCCACCTGGGCCTCAAGAGCCCCGACGTGTGCTGGACCAACTCGGAGAGCTTCGCCGCCTGGTGCCGCTTCGGCAAGCGTGAGTTCAAGGCTGGCGGCGAACTGCCCGCGGGCAGCCAGCCCCCGCAGCTGCAGTACTATCTCAAGGTGCACCTGGGGGACGGCAAGGTGCACACGGCCAGGTTCCACAGTCTAGAGGACCTCATCCGGGAGAAGCGGCGCGTGGACGCCAGCGGCACGCTTCGGGTCATCAAGGAGCTGGCTGCCCTGGTCGATGGCAAGGAGTAGCCCGGACCCGCCGCTGCCTCTCTCCTTTCTCAAACCTTCCTTCCTTTCCCTTTTCCCCATCTTCACCTATTCTCCTTCTTCTCCTTCCCTCCTTTAGCTGTCCAAATCGGTGAAAAACTCCTCTATGTAACTCAGCTCGACCCCTCCCTAACCTCAACACGTCCAGAGCCCCCACTGGCTGGCACTGGGTTGCCCACACATGGCAACCATGGAGTCTTGCTCCTCAGACATTTAGACCCTTTGGGGAATTCGCTGAGGTAGAGGGAGGCATCTGGAGGAGGAGGAAGAGTTGAGGGTCTCCTACTTGCCGCTGAAGCCAGCTGTCCCTGGCCTTATTAAGGAGGGGATCCTCTCCCAGATTTAGGGATAAGTAGCATGTGGGGAGGGCAAGAAGTCAGGGCCCCAGGCTGAGGCCCTTTGCAGTTGGAGGAACAAGGATGAAAAGGTTACTGGGTACAATAGGCTGTTCCCTTTTCCAAGTGGAACTGCGCTCCCGCTGCCTCAGGAACACAGCCCCTACAGAAGGGGAGGAAGGAATCTGAGAAGGCCTGAGAACCTCATCTACATCACCAGGCTTCCTTGTGGAGCTCAGTGTCCTAGGGTTTGTAGGTTTTCCTAAAGAAATAAATGACACCACGCTCCTGAGCTCCTGGGAATAATTCCACAGGAACCCACTTGGGGACCCAGGTAAAGTACCCAGGTTATTCCAACTCTGCCCTGGCCCTCTGGCCTCAGACCTCTTTGGCTTCTGGAGAGTGCTGGCTTCTCAGGCTGTTGTCCCAGCTCCCCACCTTCCTGCAGAGGAGTCACACCTCCAGAATTCCTGTAAGACTCAGCTGGTGGTGGTGGTGCTCAGCTGCTGTCTGGTAACTAAGGAGGCTGGTCCACCCACTCTCCCCCAAGGCCTGGGAATCGCAACCAGGTAGGCAATATCCTGCCCCCAGAAAAGGAAGAGGGTGACCCCTCCTGGCAAACCTTGTAAGAGCATCTAGATCACCTCCCTTCTGGCTGTTTCAAACCTGGCCCACCTGGGTGGAGGAAGAGGGAGGCATAGAGCAATTGCCCAGGATTGCCCAGGCAGCAGAAGGGAAGCCAGCATATCATACCTGGGCAGTTTGGTTTGACTTTGCTAAAACGTCTGAGTCATTGGGACAACAGGCAAAGTTTAAAGGAAAAAAGAAAAGAAAACACAGCAAGAACGATTTCCCAATTATGTCAACAGAGTCAATCACGTTGATGTTTTATTAAAGCATTTTAGGGACCTGCTAATAAAATTTCAAATTGAAATTTTTTTCTTTTCATGGCTTGATTCCATGATGGTTTAAATAACCAGGAGCCGCAAAGAGGAGATTTGCAGCTAAGAGCTTAGCTAACATTGCCTTTCACCAGATTTTGTTCTCAAATCTTCTGAGAATTGTTTCTTGAATACTGTAGTTTTATTTTTGTCTTTTGACAGCAGCCTCAGGATAGGTGAACTCTCTAATCAGCAGGTAGATTGGACCGAATTTCTCTCAGTTCCAGGGTTGTTTTAAAATTAGCTTATGGGAAATGGCTAATAGATTTCTCTTTCTGCTGTTTTCTGTTTGTCATGCACCCCCCACCTCATTCTTCTGACAGCCTGTTTCCACTTCTTCATTTCCCCTTTTTATCTCCCTTCATGAATCTAGAGTGGGCCAAATCACTGCCCTTTCAAACAGAAAAAGACAGACAGACACAGACAGTGAGACAGAGACAGGGACAGCCATAGAGAAACAGAAAGAGACAGAAGGGAGAACAGCAAGTGGGCTGGGGGCCAGGTCTTGTTCCAGGAATCCAGGTGGGGTGTGGGTTTGCAGCTTCCCCCCACTATCCCTGCACCACCAGTCTGACTGGCTGTGACTCACACTGTACAAGAAACACCCGCAGCATCTCCTGCCCTCACCAAAGAATCTGTCACCAAAACAGAGCCGGGGTGTGTAGGACCAGTTGTCTCAGGCGATGACAAATCAGATTGACAGTTTTGATCTGGCCAGACAGCAGCCAGCCTGTTGGCCTGGGCTTCTGGACCCCAAGAGGTGCTTAATAGATGTTTGAATTGCAGAATTTCAAGAGGGAATAAACTGAGGGATGCTGAGGATGGGAACGCCTTCATTCCAGCTGTTCATTTTTTGTCTCTCCCTCCCCTTCAGTTTTCCTCCTGAATTTATCTCTTGTCTAATCCTAATTCTCAGGATCAAAAAGTCAGAGCATTGGGATAGATGCTCTGTATTGTCCTGGAGTTTACCACTTCCCCAATGAGGTAATTTCTAAAACTGTGGAAAGTGCATATGCCTTTAAGAAGAAAAACAAACAAACAAAAACAAAAAGAGAGGGGGAAAACCCCACCAAAAAAAGTCCATTCACAATAACTAACTTCATTTTTGCAGTCTGGAGCCCCCCAAGGCTTTTTTTTTCCTTAGCCACCACCAGACCCTTTTTTCCAGTACCAGGGTGGCACACGCCAAGGCCCTGTCCTCTTAAAGGCATTTGCTGCACTCTTGCTTATATCTGATATTGACATCTGTATCTTGGCTCCCTACTCTATTAAATACTATCTAAAATGTTTGTCCCTGAGGCTGCCTCCTTCTTAGTTTCCTCATCTTTGACTTTTACTCTCTTTCCTATACTCAGAGGACAGGGGTTCACAGGAGTCACCAGACACGTGAGAGAGTCAACCTCTCTTTGGCTTTTGACTCGGGGTTTTGGTTCTGCTAAGGGTCTAGGCTCTTGGCCCCGATGATTTCCAATGGCAGGGCCCAGTCTGGAGTAGGGGGATTGGGAAAGTGATCCACAGTTTTAAATTTGCTGATATAAGGTTGGTAATAAAGATGCTGGTTTGTCAGTTAATGCAATATTCATTACTCCCTGGGGCCCTGGAAGGCACTCTGGAGACCCAGGGGAAGGACTGTGAAGGGCTGCTGCTCAGCTGTCTGAGTGGACAGCTCCCAGTGAATGAGGATGTTGTTTAAACATCCATTGGCTTGTTCTGTGGCCTTTAAATTCATCAGTGATGCTGGCGTGGTTTCATTATATTGTGTTGAGGGGGAACCATGATATTTACAAATTAGGATTGTGATAATATTGTCTAATAATTGTTATTCAAGGGAAAGAGCCCTGACTTTGGATACAGAAGACGTAGATTCAAATGTGGCCGGTGTCCTTTCCTACCTTTGTGACCTTGGGGAAGTCATTGATGTTCTCGGGCCTCAGTGTCCTCATCTGTAAGATGACAAGTTGGAGTAGAGGACCTAGAAGGTCCCTTCCAGCTGGTAGTCTCTGATCCTGTGGCCTGTGTTCATTCAATTGTGTAATCATGGACATGACTCCCCAGCCTCAGATTTTCTCATCTGTCACAGGTGGTTGGACCTGGTGCCCCTAAACCCCCTGTGACTTCTTAAGCCTGTCCTCCCATAGTGGCAAGGCCCTCCTTCCCACGCAGAGGCAGAGAGGCAACTCTGGGTAGTGAGTATTGCATATACCATCAGGCTTGATTGATGTGGTGGCTTTGTTCAGCTGCTTTTTAGAAAATGTTTCCTCTTTAAAACTTTTTTTGTTTGCTACAAGGGATGCATCTGTGCGGAGAGGGAGGGGAGGGATGTATTTAGAGGTAAATGTGGTTCTAAAACAAAGAACAGCAAAAACAAATAAAAATGGGCAAGCCCAAGACCTAAGGTCGCATCCCAGCTGCCATGATTCCTGCCTTTAATTATGAGAAAGGAAGCTCATCTTTCTGAACTAGTTTCCTCATTTATGAAATTAGGATGAAAAATCTATGCCTCACAAGACTGTTGTGAGACACATGCCTTGTAACCCTCGAAATGCTATAGAAACAGTATGTTTAAGTGTGTGACCTTGGGCAAGTCACTTGGACTCTCAAGGCCAAAATTTTTCTCACCTGCAAAATTAGAGTTGATAATTGTTAACATTTGGATGGCTGCATTATATGATCATTCATTCAGATATGTACTGAATGATTATACTGAGGGCAGGACAATGCTGAATAAAATGGTGGGGGTGGGAATATTTAAAATGTCAGTTTCCCTCTGCAAACATCAGAACAGTTCATGTATTTTTTGGCAATTTTAAAGTAAAAAAAAGACAGTATGCTTCACAACCACTCTGGGAGGTAGATAGTGCATGTATATTATCCTCATTTTGCAGATAAAGAAACTGAGGCTCCGCAAAAGGGGCAGAACAGTGGTGCAAACCCAAGTGTTCTGATTTAAAATCCACACTTACCACTATTCCACTCTGGATAAAAAGAGAGCCACAGAAACAATTAGTTGTGATGGGGATTGGGGGATAGGATGTCCAAGGATCTCAGTGGGATTCTGGAAGTAGGGCATGCGATTGTAACAAAACTAGAGTCACCAGGGGTTCCTGAGAACTGCTGGGCCTCCTCAGGGAATGTCTTTGTAATTTATGGAGGTTGAGGTTGGCAGGGCTGGAAAGTGGCCCCTTCACCTTTGACTGGGTTTCCATCCCCAGCTGAGCCCTGCTCTGATCACTCCCTCCTCGAATGGAAAGCAGGAAGAATTCTCCATCCCTTGCTGAATTAGAAGGCTTTTGTCTCCAGGAGTTTTCCCCAGGGTTGTTTGCCAAAGAAGTTTTAAGAAGTTTATTCCAAGATAGGAGACATCTGTGAAAAGGGGCTGTTCCTTGTTCTTTAAGACAGCTGAAGGATGGAAAAGGATTCAGTTTGTGACTTTTCTCCTTCCCATATATCTTTGTTTAAATGATGACTGTGAAACCAGGAGGTTTAGCCTAGAACACCAGTCACCTTACAGAATTAAGGCACAGAATGCTAGAACATGGAATTGGGGTAATGGTCAAGGTACCTTGGAGCTGATACTATTTTATCCTTTCACATTGGAAAGGAGGAAAGGAGTCCCAGGAAGGGGGTACCTAGCCCACAATCCAGACAACTCACAAGTGCTAGTGTCATGATTTGAACCCAAGCCTTTGGACTCCAAGTCCAATGTGCTTTCCACTGTACCATCTCTCTCCTCCCCTTCCCTTCACCCCACTCCACCTTGGCAGCTAGATGTTGTGCTTTTTATAGGGAAAAAGAATTTCATTTGTTTTAGGCACGGAATTGTGTGTCCCCTTTCATCCCACTATTTGTTTGTTGATGACTCTGGCAGAAATGATGAGACAGGTCAAAGTCAGTCCTGACCCCAGATGTTTATGGAACATCAGGATCCCCAGGCAATCCCTACAATTTCTAGTCATTATGGTGACCAGCTGATGGATAGTTCCCAGGGTACTGTCCATAGCCCAGTGCAAGCCAAGTAATGACCACCCAATGAATGGGGGAAGACCAGCATCTGGAGGAAGTAAATGTCCTGTAATTATCATAGTGGTACAATCCAGGACTGGTTTTCTTCAGTCTGCCAATATCTGCCAATAATTTGTTCACCCTCTTGTTGAGTATCAGGGAGCAGAGGGGGAAGGGACCTTGGGGATCTGCTGCTCCAACATCTCTCTACATTCATTACAGAGGAGGAAACTGAGACTAAGAGAAGGGAGATGCCTTTCCCAGGGTCACACAAGCTAGGAAGTTGCAGAGTCTGGGCCTCCTTTTGATATTTCATTCCATGCACATCCAATCCAGCAAGCATCTCCTACATGCCTGCTGAGTTCCAGGCACCAGGCATATGGAGACCAAATGAAACTCAGTCTCTGCCCTTCCGGGTCTTGCATTTGACTGAGGGGATACAAAATGTAAACAAATTGAGGATATTCATAATCATCTGAAGAGGAAAGAGAGGGTGCCAGCAATTAAAAGTGTCCAGAAAGGCTTCCCAGAGGATGTGGTGTGTGAGCTAAGCCTAGAAGGAAGTTAGTGACTCTGAAAGAGGGAGGGGAGAAGGGAAGGCCCTCCAGACATGGGGGTCAGCCTGTGCAGAGACGGGAAAGGGAGGGGGAAGTTGGGTCCACCACAACAGGCCATTCTGGCCCTACCAAAGTGTGGTGAAGGAGGAGTAATGCACCCTGCCTTGGGTCCACAAAGGGAGGCTGGTGTCGGGCCAGGATGACAAGTGTCCATTAGGCTGGGGCTGTGGGGAACACGGTGGTGACTATGATCAGGCCTGTGATTGAGGAAGCTCATTTAGCAAGGTTGTGGAGGATGAATTTGAGACAGGAGGAGCTGGAGGCAGGGAGCGTAATGAGGTGGCTACGGAGATGGAAGCAGGGCCTAGGAGTAGAGAGAAGAGCCGAGATCCCCGGAACGCCCTGGAAGCCAAGAGGCTAAGACTCCCAAGGTG